GGCCCTTCTCCCCCGATTGCTCAGTTTGGCTGGGCGGCCAGCTCTAGGAAGAGTCTTGGTGGTTACAAACTTCTTCCATTTAAGAATGATGGAGACCACTGTGTTCTTGCGGACCTTCAATGTTGCAGACATTTTTTGGTAACCTTCCCCAGATCTGTGCCTCAACTCAATCTTGTCTCGGAACTCTACGGACAATTCCTTCGACCTCATGGCTTGCTTTTTGCTCTGATATGCACTGTCAACTGTGGGACGTTATATAGACAGGTGTGTGCCTTTCCAAATCATGTCCAATCAATTGAATTTACCATAGGTGGACTCCAATCAAGTTGTAGAAACATCTCAAGGATGATCAATGGAAACAGGATGCACCTGAGCTCAATTTCGTGCCTCATAGCAAAGGGTCTGAATACTTATGTAAATAAGGTATTTCTATTTTTTATTTTTAATACATTGGTTAAAATGTATAAAAAACTGTTTTTGCTTTGTCATTATGGGGTATTGTGTGTAGATTGCTGAGGAAAAAAAAAATCCATTTTAGAATAAGGCTGTAATGTAATAAAATGTGGAAAAAGTCAAGGGGTCTGAATACTTTCCGAAGGCACTGTACATTTCACAATTTCTCAAAGCTTAAATACAACACACACACACACATTTGTCTTACACCTAAACACATAGAGAAATAATGAACTAAAAATCATTGGTCTCATGTCTTCTAATTAGGGATATGCTGTTGAACACACTGCTTCTTCACCCCGGGCTTGGACTACTAAATGGTATCATTCAGAGCCATAAGCCCTCCCCAGGCGTCAAGCCTTTCGCTAACTGCTGAAGGAAACAAAGAAAAAATCAACAGCAATAAACAAATCAATTAAGACGAACTGTCTCCCTTTTGTGCTGTTGGCATCCATTTGGTTTTCTGGGCCAAAGTTAAAGGCTGCTGTGCTGTCGTGGTCTTGGAGTCTGTCGGTTGAATGTGGGCAAGGGGAACCAGTTAAAATCAGTAAGTAAGCAAATTGACAATTCATAATAAAATAATATTGAGACTGTGGCATCATGTAACGTGCGTTACATTGATTGATAGTTTGTGCTGACAAAATGTAATCTAATTTTCTAAAATAAAAAAAGGGTTTGAGCTATCCAGCCTCTGAGTGGGATGTTTTGAACTAGTATGGTTACTGGTGCTTCATTAAATTAGAATCAAGGTGATGCCTTTACAGCCAAGAGCAGCACCTTGTGAATATGGATTATGAAGGAGAGTATGGGTTATTATTGAATATCAAACATGACAGAGGATGTTAATATGCATAATTGTATCCTCATGCTGAGAAGGACATTCAAGTTGGTTATGACTAGATGGGATGCAGCTAATGTCAGAAGTTTGTAGCAGGTTAGAAGAATTTACGCAGCAGGTTAGGATAATTAATGTAGAAGGTTAGGCCCAATTAGGTTAAGGTTAGGAACGGGGTTAGGGTTAGCTAAAATGCAACAATTCTCCCAGACGTGACTCGAACATGCAACTTTTGAGGTGACTTTGACAATAGCTGCATCCCTTCTAGCAATGACCATTCAAGTTGAAGACCAGTGTATCCATAAGGCAGCCAATTATTAAAAACAACAACACCTTTGTGCCCTTGACCACACTTGCTTGTATAGAAAATCTAAATTGCAACATCAAAAACCTTTCAAATCGAAGCTTTTTGGCAGAGTAATGCGAGTCGGAGAGATGAGAATGTTGCTTTGCTCTTTCTATGATAGAAGAGAATTGATCTAAACATTTTCAAGAAAATAAGGAGCCTTAAACCATATCGACCAGGAGCAAAGCTTAAAGAGAGAGTATAAAGAATACAATGTGAAATGACTTGGCAACAGCTGGGCGCTCAGCACAGACGTGTACTGCCATGAGGCCATTATGGTTCATGCTTATCGACTGAAACCAACTGCACACTCCAAATACAAAGAATGTCATCATTATAGGTTGGCTATTTATCCAGAACTGAGGACACAATATAGAAATACATTCTTAGTCTTTCATTCTAATGAGAAAAATGTGTATATTTACAGATTTCACCTATAATATTAATGTTTCTTCTAACACTGTTGAGAATTTTAATTATACAAGCCCAGCTGTCACTCAACAGAGGTCTGAAGTTGAACGTGCCTTTCAAATGCAACACAGAACATTTTCACAACTCATCTATGCAGCAGTTTGTCCTGCGTAGATGCCTAAAGGTGGATGGGTTGGGGGATATACAGTATGTGCAACAATCTATGCTGTCCTTGTGAGCTATTTAGTTAATACCCTGAGGGATAAATCACATGACATGGGACAACGGAGGACCAGAGTGAACAGCTGCTGGAGGCGTGGGTACTTTTATCAATTCCTCTTAGAGTAATAACAAACCATTCAGTGCCTAATTACTCAGTAAGGTTTGCCTTATAGAACAGAGAGCCATGAAACAATACAGGGATCCACAGGGAGGGAACAAAACCCTGCTATTATGTACAGTACAGCTGGTCTCCATCAATGAGCTACTAGCAGCCTGGGTTCCACAGGACGCGTGACTGATAGATAATTACAGTGTAATTAGTTGTGTTTCTCCAGGGCATCGCTATGGGATGCTGGCTGGGTGTCAAAAGTCAAAGGATAATTGGGTAGAGTGAGAGTAGTCCTGCTTGAACATGAAGACCCCATTTAAATAGCAGTGCTTGCCAGCTTGACCAAGCACTCCCCATATTACAAGCTAGGCATGAACCTAGAAATTGATGATGTGCATCAAAATGGAGGCCCAACAGTCCGTGAAAATGTTTAAACTATCACCCTAAATGTTTACTAGAATAGATATTAAGGAAGTCCTACAAAGGGTGAGTTTGGTTTGACAGTTACCCCAGACTGTACATGAATCTGGATAACTGACCTACAGAGGCTCTGCTCCATCCACTCTACCCTTGAACTGTCTGTGAAATATACTCCACAAGTGAGTTAACAGACATACACACAGACATATCTGTACACACAATCTATTGATGGCTTATTTGATATAAAACTATTTCTGTCTAGCTGTCAAATATGCTCATTCCCAAAAGACTTTAGACTAAAGAAGATCTCAGTCATGTGAAAAGTAATTTCAGTTTTAGAGTCTACAGTATTCAAACCCCTTGACTTTTTCCACATTTTGTTGTGTTACAGCCTGAACTTAAGATGGATTCAATTTAGATTTGTTTGTCACTGGCCTACACACAACATCCCATAATGTCAAAGTGGAATTATGTTTTTCTACATTTTTACAAATTAATTAAAAATGAAAAGCTGAAATGTCTTGAGTCAATAAGTATTCAACCCCTTTGTTATAGCAAACCTAAATAAGTTCAGGAGTATAAAGTTGCTTAACAAGTCACATAATAAGTTGCATGGACTCACTCTGTGTGCAATAATAGTGTTGTAACATGATTTTTTTTATGACTACCTCATCTCTGTTTCCCACACATACAATTATCTGTAAGGTCCCTCAGTCGATCAGTGAATTTCAAAAACAGATGAAACCACAAAGACCAGGGAGGTTTTCCAATGCCTCGCAAAGAAGGGTACCTATTGGTAGATAGGAAAAAAAGAAAAATAGCAGACATTGAAAATCCCTTTGAGCATGGTGAAGTTATTAATTACACGTTGGATGGTGTATCAATACACCCAGTCACTACAAAGGTACAGGCATCCTTCCTAACTCAGTTGCCGGAGAGGAAGAAAACTGTTCCGAGATTTCAGCATGAGACCAATGGCTTTAAAATGGTTACAGAGTATAATGGCTGTGATAGGAGAAAACTGAGGATGGATCAACAACATTGTAGTTACTCCACAATACTAACCTAATTGACAGAGTGAAAATAATTAAGCCTGTACAGAATACAAATATTCCAAAACATGCATCCTGTTTGCAACAAGGCACTAAAGTAATACTGCAAAAAATGTGGCAAAGCAATTAACTTTTTTGTCCTGAATACAAAGTTTTATGTTTGGGGCAAATCCGATACAACACATTACTGAGTACCACTCTCCATATTTTCAAGCATAGTGGTTGCTGCATCATGTTATGGGTATGCTTGTAATCTTTAAGGACTGGGGAGTTTTTCAGGATAAAAAGGAAACGGAACGGAGCTAAGCACAGGCAAAATACTAGAGGAAAACCTAGTTCAGTCTGCTTTCTACCAGACAGTGGGAGATGAATTCCCCTTTCAGCAGGACAATAACCTAAAACACAAGGCCAAATCTACACTGGAGTTGCTTTCCAAGAAGATAGTGAATGTTCCTGAGTGGCTGAGTTACAGTTTTGACTTAAATCTACTTGAAATTCTATGGCAAGACCTGAAAATGGTTGTCTAGTAATGAGATCAACAACCAATTTGAGAGAGCTTGAAGAATTTTGAAAAGAATAATGGGCAAATGTTGCACAATCCAGCTGTGGAAATCTCTTAAGAGACTTATCCAGAAAGACTCATCGCTGCCAAGGGTGCTTCTACAAAGTATTGACTCAGGGGTGTGAATACTTATGTAAATGAGATATTTCTGTATTTAATTTAGAATACATTTGCCAAAATTTCAAAAAACACGTTTTCACTTTGTCATTATGGGGTATTGTGTGTAAAAAAAATTAAAAAATGTTTGAAACACAACAAAATGTGGAATAAGTCAAGGGGTATGAATACTTTCTGAAGGCACTGTATGTTTAATTTCTGTGGGATTTACCTTGCAGAGACTGATATAACAATATATGACATATTTCAGGCCTTTAGGCTTTCATGAGAATATTTCACCTACAGCTATCTCTACAGAGTAAAGCATATTTAACCGCTTGAACGATACAACTTAAATCTTCAGTGCTTCAATGAATAAAGACATTACTGCTCAAGGAACAATGCAAATATTTCTGTAAAATGAATAGACTTATAGTGAAGGAGAGAAAATTTCAAATCCATGAGACATGAAGTCCTAAAAGCTATTAGGAAGACATTTAAAATCAAAAGACCAGTCACTTATACAGTACCTTACTTATACTTAGTGTTTATTCAATCAAATTGTATTTTTTATGCTCAACATGAAGAAGAAACTCAACATATTTCCCCCCTCATATTCAAATGAAATGAAATAGCAGAAATAAAGATACTTGTGTTATTGCTATGGCAGCAGGCCTAATCGTATACTAACCTTAGAATTCCCATTGGCATACTATGGAAATTCCGGACCAGACCAGAAGCAGCTGGTTTTCTCAAGACTTTATTGGTGTGATTTCTTTTCAAAACATTGCGACCTCTGTAACAGTTGCCCTATCTTACTTCTTTTTAATTTCTTATATTTTTACAAGTGACACAAACATCCAACATAATAATCTAACAAATGTAAGAAATAAAATCACTAAAAGTTGCTGTAGCTTCAATTGGATCTTCTATCAGTTGAACACATCCAGAATCAGAATAGAATTCAATCATCTGGGTTCAACAACATCTTCATAAAAACTGAACACCCCCTTCCATAACACAGAAAGAGGAGCATTTAGCGCCTCTTGTCCTTGTGGTGGTGCATGCAGCTGAAAACACCTGCTTTCTGTCCTTGGTCACCTCTCCTTTGGAGAACAGCACCCTGTGTGTCACTAGCCTCTGCCAGGCCCTGCTGAGGTAGGCCTTGTCAAAGTTTGAGGCATGAGAGGAGGACCACCGTCTCCAGGAGGAAGACGATGAGGAAGGCTCAGAAGGTCCAGGTGTCATGGCCGCCACCTCAGCCTGAGCCGAGTGCCCGTAGTTCCTCATGATGGCGTGCGTGGTGGCGAACACCACTATACGGTAGTCCCTCAGCAGCCGGTCCAGGAGCTCTGAACACTTCCTGAGGTTGGCTTCCTGCTTGGCCACGCTCTCCCCTCCCCCGCTCCGGTCCACCCAATAGAAGGCTGAGATACTGTCGATGACCAATAGGCACAGAGCGGGCCGGCTGCAGAAGGTATTCTCCAGATAGTGCAGTGTGAGAAGCAGTTGGACCGAGCTGGAGCAGTGAACTACGAAGAGTCGGCCTAGGCAGGCTCGCACCCTCTCCTCAGGCTCTACTGCCGCCCCACCATCCTCTCCTTTTGCATCCTCCCCCAGGCGCTGCTCCAGTACTGTCACCAGCCTCAGCATGTCAAAGTGGTAGTCGGTGTCCACGTACATGACTTCCACCTCCAGGCCCCCCCGGTCGGCTGGGAGGATGCAGTGGGTCACCAGATGGTACATGGTCTCCGTCTTCCCACTTCCCTCGGTGCCATGGAACTCCACTACGTCACCTGGATTATGAATGTAAAAGAAATGTCAACTATGTGACTACTGTAATAATTGATTTATATGGACTGATGATGCTACGTCTATACACCAAGGCCAAACTACCTTGAATAGGTCCAGCACCGTCAGGAAAGATGTGAGGTTCAATGTCCCTCAATGACCGTCTCCCCTCCAACCTAGCAAACAACTAAAAGAAAATACAAACTCACTTAGAAAACAACATAATATATTCATGACCCATATGCTACTTCTGATTTTACTTTGATAACAAAGTACTTCTAGCTGCTAACTTGAAGTTTAGGTTTAACTTCAGTATTAATCTCTGGCCAAAGGCAGGAAAACAGCTGATCAGAACCAGGAAGTAACTGTGAAATGTTTGTTAGAATTAAACTAACTGCGATGTGTCTCTGTGGTTACTAGATCGTTGTATGCAAGGGGATTAACTGTAAACAATGTTAGTGATCGCGTACATACTCGTTAACTTGTATGGAGTGTGTCTCGAGAGAAATAGAAAACCACGTACAAAGCAATGTTACTGAAACAGACAAACGACATAGCTATGTTGACAAACAGGCGTACGCTAGTTCAAAATATAGTTTGCTAAGCACATCTGGAAATAGTTGATGGAAAGGTGCGCGTTTCATGGGGAAATAAAGTCAACATCGCCACAGACATCATGTTAGTTTATTAAAAACCTTTCGTTAGATACTTATTACACTTATACGGTAACGTTAATTTGCAACATACTTGTGCACCATTCTCTGTCATTTTGGCAGTAGTTGTTGTCATCCCCTGTGGCTGTCAGGAAAAAAAAAAAAAAAAACTCGCTTTTTCAAATAGACTTCCTGCTTTTGGTATTTTACCGTAATATCTGGCATAGACGAGCTATATGAATTGTTACAGGATCTTTGGTACACATCATGAAAAATAGTTACACATAATTGCTCTTAATCCTAACGTTATCAATAATAAATGCTATTAGCTCGTCTGACAGAATATTATTTTCCTGCTTTTCATTGGGTGCGTGAGGAATGGATACAGCGTAACAAGGTCGCCAAAACTCGCATCCAGAGAGGAAACAGTGGAATTCAGATGCCACCTTGCGGTGTTCATATTGAAATACATTGGTGGCAATCTGGCTGCGTTTAGACAGGCAGCCCAATTCTGATCTTTCTTCTACTAATTGGTCTTTTGACCAATCACATCAGATTTTTTTTTTTTACATCAGATCTTTTTAAGAGCTGATCTGATTGACCAAAAGACCAATTAGTGAAACAAATATAGGAATTGGGCTGCCTGTCTAAAAACATCCTTAGAGGTTTTTGCGGCTTCTTCATTATGTTATTTAATTACATAGTCCTTAACCATGTTATAAAGAAAATTATTTTCACCGGTTTCAATAAAGTAGTTTTTTCTGTAACAGCTGATGCTGTATCAGCAACCATTTTACATGACAGAACATTTTGGTATGGGAAACTATGAGAAACTGACTCATTGTCAGGTGTGCGAGTTCCCATTACTATGCTCGAGAGGGGAACGGAGCCAGCGTGTTAAATCTTCCCTTTGACTCTGGAAGTACTCTCGCTGTCAAACTACTAGAAATAGAAATAACCGTACAGGGAAATAAGCGAGCACGGGACAGTGCAATCAGCCTTGTATCCAACCTTCAATAATACATTGTATTTAAACTAGCTGTTTGATACAGTTGTTGCCAATAATCTATGGCGTTTTGGGGACATTCTTTCGTCATCATGAGCATGGCAGTCCACCTATCGCCTTGCGTGATAGATTGTGTGACTGGGTGAGTTTGTTTGCTCGAAACAGCTGAGCTTGCATTGAAGGTATGTGATCTGCCTTGAAAATGACATTTACTAAGGTTATGTTATGCCACCAATCGACACAACCTTATGCCATCCTACTCTGTGTAAATGGAAAGCACCTTCTCAGTTAATGGTAACATGAGAATAAGATTAATAATATATTATTTCAATATTATAAACATAATTAGTTTAGGTTAGGTATGCTTTTAATGGAAATACAATGCCAATGGCTAAGTGTAGTAATAGTCGGCTCCTCTATTGTAATAGTAATACTGTAGGACAGAATAGTCTAAACTAGTCTTGAAAAAGTTAAGCTGAGGTTTGTTATTATTGCTTCATGCAGGACATGACTCAGGAGTAAATAGGTAAAATAGCCTGTCACCTGGAGGGGGGAGAACCCCATCAGAGATAAGTCACTTTTTTTTACATTTTATTGCAAGGCTACAAATTATTTAAAATGGATCAACATTTGGTATCCAGGATTGTTGCCAAAACGTTAAATCTATGAGTGGTATGAGCCTGCAGTAGGTTACAGTATCGACTCAAACAAATTAAGATTTTTGCACAAAGATGTAGACCTTCAGCTTTCTGAATCTGAAGGCTTGTACACTCACAGGTATGATTAACTTGACGAATAACTGCCTGTGGGCAGTACATTAGCCAAGTTCTCTATTAATTAAACCACTGCATGTTTTGGCCAACAATATCAATTTTAGAGGATAACTTTTTCCTCCATGATGAATTAGCATGGTTAAACATGACGTTTTACTTAATCAGAAAGGCTGGGTTCGAGACACAATTATTATAGAGAACTAATTGCAAAAGGTTTCGGTTGTTTCTGAAAGGTTAATTGTAAATTGATTGGGATAGAAAATATTGTCAAATGCATTCTGCTTAGTCCTGGTACAGACAATAAATACAGTGCCTTCAGAAAGTATTCACACCCCTTGACGTTTTTCACATTTTGTGTTATAGCCTGAATTTAAAATTGATTAAATTAAGATTTTGTGTCACTGGCCTACAATAGCCCATAAAGTCAAAGTGGAATTATGTTTTTAGAAATGTTTACAAATTAATAAATGAAAAGCTGAAATGTAAGTATTCAACCCCTTTGTTATGGCAAGCCTAAATAAGTTCAGGAGTAAACATGTGCTTAACAAGTCACATAATAAATTGCATGGACTCACGGTGTGCAATAATAGTGTTTAACATGATTTTTGGATGACTACCTCATCTCTGTACCCCACACATACAATTGTCTGTAAGGTCCCTCAGTCGAGCAGTGAATTTCAAACACAGATTCAACCACAAAGACCAGGGAGGTTTTCCAATGCCTCACAAAGAAGGCACCTATTGGTAGATGGGTAAAAATAAATATAGCAGACATTTAATATCCCTTTGAGCATGGTGAAGTTATTAATTACACTTTGGATGGTGTATCAATACACCCAGTCACTACATAGATACAGGCATGCTTCCTAACTCAGTTGCCGGAGAGGAAGGAAATCGCTCAGGGATTTCACCATGAGGCCAATTATGACTTTAAAACAGTTACAGAGTTGAATGGCTGTGATAGGAGAAAACTGAGGATGAATCAACAACATTGTAGTTACTCCACAATCCTAACCTAAATTACAGTCAAAAGAAGGAAGCTTGTACAGAATAAAAATATTCAAAATCATGCATTGTTTGCAATAAGTCACTAAAGTAAAACTGCAAAAAATGTGGCAAAGAAATTAACTTTATGTCCTGAACACAAAGCATTATGTTGGGGCAAATCCAACACAACACGTCACTGAGTACCACGTTCCATATTTTCAAGCATTAGGGAGTTTAGGATAAAAATAAACGGATTAGAGCTAAGCACAAGAAAAATCCTAGAGGAAAACCTTTTTTTCAGTCTGCTTTCCAACAGACACTGGGAGACAAGTTCACCTTTCAGCAGGACAATAACCTAAAACACAACGCCAAATACAGTGCATTCGGAAAGTATTCAGACCCCACATTTTGTTACATTACAGCCTTATTCTAAAATGGATGAAATTGTTTTATTTCCTCATCAATCTACACAAAATACCCCATAATGACAAAGCAAAAACAGGTTTTTAGAAATTTTTGCAATTTATTACAAATAAAAACTGGAAATATTACATTTACATAAGTATTCAGACCCTTTACTCAGTACTTTGTTGAAGCACTTTTGGCAGTGATTACAGCCTCGAGTCTTCTTGGGTATGATGCTACAAGCTTGGCACACCTGTATTTGGGGAGTTTCTCCAATTCTTCTCTGCAGATCCTCTCATGCTCTGTCAGGTTGGATGGGGAGCGTCACTGCACAGCTATTTTCAGATCTCTCCAGAGATGTTCGATCGGGTTCAAGTCCAGGCTCTTGCTGGGCCACTCAGAGACTTGTCCCGAAGCCACTCCTAAGTTGTCTTGGCTGTGTGCTTAGGGTCCTTGTCCTGTTGGAAATGAACCTTCGCCCCAGTCTGAGGTCCTGAGCAGGTTTTCATCAAGGATCTCTCTGTACTTTGCTCCATTCATCTTTCCCTCAATCTTAACAAGTCTCCCTGTCCCTGCCGCTGAAAAACATCCCCACAGCATGATGCTGCCACCCCTATTCTTCACCGTAGGGATGGTGCCAGGTTTCCTCCAGACGTGACGCAAATTCCAAGCGGGCTGTCATGTACCTTTTACTGAGGTGTGGATTTCGTCTGGCCACTCTACCATAAAGGCCTGATTGGTGGAGTGCTGCAGAGGTGGTTGTCCTTCTGGAAGGTTCTCCCATCTCCACAGAGGAACTCTGGAGCTCTGTCAGAGTGACCATTGTGTTCTTGGTCACCTCCCTGACCAAGGCCCTTCTCCCCCAATTGCTCAGTTTGGCCGGGCGGCCAGCTCTAGGAAGAGTCTTGGTGGTTCCTAACTTCTTCCATTTAATATTGATGGAGACCTTCAATGCCTTGACACAATCCTGTCTCGGAGCTCTACGGACAATTCCTTCGACCTCATGGCTTGGTTTTTGCTCTGACATGCACTGTAAACTGTGGGACCTTATATAGACAGGTGTGTGCCTTTCCAAATCATGGCCAATCAATTGAATTTACCACAGCTGGACTTCAATCAAGTTGTGGAAACATCTCAAGGATGATCAATGGAAACAGGATGTAGCTGAGCTCAATTTCGTGTCTCATAGCAAAGGGTCCGAATACTTATGTAAATAAGGTAAATTAGCAAAATTCGCTTTGTCATTATGGGGTATTGTGTGTAGATTGGTGAGTCTTTTTATTTATGTAATCCATTTTAGAATAAGGCTGTAACCTAACAAAATGTGGAAAAAGTCAAGGGGTCTGAATACTTTCCAAATGCACTGTATACACTGGAGTTGCTTACCAAGACGACATTGAATGTTCCTGAGTGGCCTAGTTACAGTTTTGACTTAAATCGGCTTGAAAATGGTTGTTTAGCAATGATCAACAACCAACTTGACAGAGCTTGAAAAATCTTTAAAAGAATAATGTGCAAATATTGTGCAATCCAGGTGTGCAAATGTCTTAGAGACTTATCCAGAAAGACTCACAGCTGTAATCGCTGCCAAAGGTGTTTCTAACATGTATTGACTCTGGGGTGTGAATACTTCTGTAAATGAGATAGATGTTTTCAATTTGTCAGTATGGGTGATAAAAAAATCAATTTATTCAATTTTTAATTCAGGCTGTAACACAACAAAATGTGGACTAAGTCAAGGGGAACGAATAGTTTCTGAATGTACTGTACATTATTCAGTTGTATATTTGCACAATGGTTAGGGACAAACATTTACATTTACATTTTCGTCATTTAGCAGACGCTCTTATCCAGAGCGACTTACAAATTGGAAGTAATCTTTGCTGTGTTATGATGACTTTGTGTTGTTTTTCTTTGAATGCAGATACATCAAGATCAGTGGAGGCTGGTGGGAGGAGCTATAGGAGGACTGGA